TATGGGGGTGCACATGGCGGCGGGGTGTGCTCCCAGAAACTGGAGCCTGGCTGGCTAGAGCCACCCTCCGGCTGCCAGCCAGGCTGCTGCATCACTGCCACTGAAGCCCCAGAAAGCCCCCAGACCATCAGGTAAGACTGCTGGAGTCAGCCCAGGTGCTGGCCCCAGCCTCTGCTACCCCACCTGGGCAACATGCCACACACCAGGGTGCACAGGAACTCCCCGGGGAAAAGAGGCAGTGGCACAACTATATGCTGCTGCTATTTGTCACCAGGGACACGCACATGCAAGTCTTAAAGTCTAATTCAGCTATGACCGAGTCAGTGGAAAAATCTCCACTGATTTCTAGTTCCTACTGACTGAGAACTTTTCTAGTAATTAAGGGAATTTAATCAGTCCTACATAAAAGCAGTGACCAACTGTAGTGCAGAGACAAATGGTATTAGCCTGAAATCAGGCAGAAGGCAGGGCAGGGTTATATTTTAGAGACCAACTTGTTCAGGGATAAGCTTTCATAAGGGACAGTCTAACTCTGTCAGATACAGATACTCTGTTTCATACAGGAACAGGTTTTTTCATGTTTCATAGCATCTGAAGAAGTAAGCTGTCATTTATGAAAGCTTATGCCTCTCTGAACAAGATGGGTGCCACCCTGCCCAGCTGCATTACAGCTGAAGGCTGAACAGTGATTTCTGTTTGAAGAATGATTCAAAGTACTTTAAAATCCACATGCTCAGATTGTCTTCCCATTTCCTTCATCCTACAGATGTGCACAATACTGTTGAGGGTCCAGTTTGGGTTGATATTTCAACAAGATATTCCCAAAATAGACCCCCCACCACCACCACCAAATAAAGCATTTCACAGAAGTCAATGGGTTAACATTTTGCAAGCAGCTCAAGCTCCAATTTTGGTTCTATCATCTTCTATCTGATACAAGTTGGAACATTTTTAGTTAGTGCTTGATCCACTATTTCTCAGAGAAAGCAATATTTAAAAAAATTAGAGGAGGAGCTTGGCAAGTGCGCTTCTGGACAGTCAAAGGGACTGAAGACAGACAGAGAAGCCTCAGCAAGAAGATTTGTAGTTTTCTTAGTATTCTGAGTTAACTTTCACATTAGTTTGCCCAGGAGTAATTTAGTTTGAACAACACAGGGTGCGTCTGCAGATGCAATTACCACGCTGGAATTTTCTGTGCAGAAAACTTAGGTGTGTTAGGGCATGTGTCTAGATGTGCACCCACATCGAAAGCAAACTGAGCCCAACAGGAGCAACCTAAGTCCAGGGTTGCTCCTGCCACGTTCTGCCCTGCTGCAGCAGCCAGGGGGAGCTCCAGGCTCCTCTGGGTGCCAGCCCTGGGCTGGCAGGGGACTCTGGGGAAAGTTCTGGGCTGGCAGGGAGTGTGGGGATCAGGCCTGGGCTCCAGGGGGTGGGGGATGGGAAGGAGCTGTCCTTGCTCTGTGGGCAGCTCCCTCCTAGCTGTGCAGAGATTGGAGCAGGGACAGGAGCTACCCCTGGAGCCAGGATGGCTGGCCCACCCCCCTGAGGCTTGAGACTTAACCAGGCAGCAGCTTTGGCCCCCGCTGTCTGGGTTGACCCAGTCACCATCTAAACATGTGCTTCGGTGCATTAGTTTAAAATGTCATTTTCTACCTTCTGTTTCTGTATCTGTGGGTACTAGCAAATGACACTTTCAGTTACTCTACTGCGCAGTAATTGCTGTGCATGTGTAGATGCCGATGCTTTACTGTGCATTAGATTAGTCTAATGCGCAGTAAAACATCTCATGTAGATGTGCCCACAGTATACAGAATGCAGCATTTCAAACTCTGAGCAAGCAAGACAATTTAAAGCTTGGGGCTCAATTCATAGTACAAGCTTATATTTGAAAACACCATGACTAATTTTTGTTGTAATCCTTTTCAAAGAAAAAAAGAAGCACACGTTCTAACCATGCAGATTGTATTACCTGGTGTATTGGCATGCTCTGATGATGACTGGATACTCTTAGAATCCCTCTGTCCTGTGTCGGAGGCTGGATTCCTTAAAGCTGTCTTTTGTTCTTCTCTTGGAACATGGCTATGAGAAGAAGTGGAGGGAACAGCAGGAAAGAGTTTCTTCAGTACTTTCGCTATGAAGACTGTGGAATAATAGAGACAATTTAAATAGGTAAACTACTTAAGTCTCTATTTTTATACTTCCTTTTCACCCTCTGATTAATAAGGGGCACTTCTCTTTCATCCCACTAACACTGCAAGTCACCATTTTTCAGGGACAGCAAACATGGGTAATCAAGTTGAAATAGATGTACTGGGAAACAGCTTGACTCAAGAGAGTAGGTATAACACTTGTCATAGATCAGCAGCAGGGTTTGAACCCAGAACAGAGAGAATGAAAAACCACATGCACACACACTCTGCTTGAGTGAAAGTTATTTGGCAGTAGTGGAAGCAGCTGTCGTGTCCTGCTTATGACACAGGACATTTTTACAAGCATCCTACACCAGTTTTTTATGACTGCTTAAAATTCAGGTTTCTTATCTGGCACCGAGACATTTCCATTGAGCCACTGATTAAAATCAATAAACTACAAACATTTAATCATTTTAAAGTAACATGGACAGTGCCAACAGCATATGCCAACTTAATACTATAAAAGAGACAGTATTCTCACATGACTCTTCATTTCTTACCATCCCATACCTGCAAGCTGATATCATCATGGTTACTTTTGTACCACACATACCTTTTCCCCAAAAATTAGCCATCCAAAATTGGGATGCATGGGTTGGATGTGGAAGCTGATTTACACTCTAGAACAGATACATGGGGACACTAATGGATGCAGGGGGCTGTGCTGCCCTGCCTTGCCTTCCCAGGCACATGGAGAAGGAGTAGAGTCTGCTGCTCAGGTCACTCACTCTCTCTCCTTGCAAACTTCCAGTTAATATCTGCTACTAATTCAGGAGTGGCTGTGGCAAGGGTAAAACTTGAGCTGCAGAGTTTGCAAGGAGAGTGAGCGATATATGCACCCAGAAGCATTCAACGATAGTTGGCCCATGTTGTGGCAAGGAAGACTGAAAAATATTTTCTACATTCTGCCTTTCCAAAACAAGGTGTGCAACTTATTTAGTAAGACTTGTTGTATGTTAGAAAATATGGTAGTTACTGACATGGTAGAATTACCAATTTTAAAATGCTACATACAAATATATGAACTAGAGCCAAGATTGTCATCTTCCTCATGTGATGCCTGGGTATTTTGTCCACTTTCAAATACATTTTGTTTTTATCACAGGATGTTGTTATCTGTTTAAGAACCTCTCAGATTCTGATGCTCTGCATAGTCAAACATAGACATTACAAAGCAAAAGGGGAAGAGATTTGGGGGAAAAAAATCTAATCTTTAGATTTGACAAGAAAGGACATGCATACTGTGTATGGTAGCCTGCTGTGGATTCTTATAAAAATAACTTTGCTACAGAAAGGTCAGTCAAGTGTAACTAAACATAAGGAAGTTTCCATAATAAAACAGTTTCCTAATACTACAACCTCCAAGCTTGACAGGTATACCTGGAAATCACTTTGAAATTTGTGAAAATACTTGCTCCTTTAATACCACAGATAAAAGTGCTAAAGAGACCCATTTATAAAACTTTTTTAAAAGCCTTTACACTGAATCACTCGTGACAACTATTTTCTTGAAGAAGCAGGCCTGCATATGGTGAAAGAGCAGGCCCTTAAGTCAATGAGTTACTCTGAAAGCAAAATTCTGAAAATGGTGAACATGGAAACATTTGGGTATGTGTGACAGGTTGGGGTGCCTTGTTCAGGTGTAGGGATTTCCTCCATTCTATGATATATTCATGTCTAGAAAAAGCCAGGTATTTAAAATTCTTCAATATTAAGGCTTTTCAGCAGGGGTTTTCATAAAATCATAAAGAAGTAGGGCTGGAAGGGACCTTCAGAGGTTATCTAGTCCAACTCCATGCCTGCACTGAGGCAAGATCATCCCTATCCAAACAATCCTATACAATCCATAATCTGAACTCCACATAACACCATCATCAAATGTGGCACAACAAAAAGTTAAACATGCACACATCAAGAGATGGAATTAAGCCTTAGAATTGCTACTTCATGCTGGGTACTTTTAAAGAGAAATTTAGAAACACATAAACCTCAAAAAGGATCCAAGCCAAATACAATAAAAAGACGCTGATGGATAATTCATCTAGGTAGAAGGAAGTACAGATCACTGTATACTACATAAATATATCCAGAATTTCTTCATGGCAGGAAAGCAAAAGACAAGGTTCTGCCAACAAATACAGTATTTCTCACCACTCTCAAGTTCACCAACTTCTTGTGTTTACAAGTACTAATGATATTAACTGTAAGCAGAGTGCTGACAAAGAATGGGAAAGGAACTGATCAGCAAGAAAAGCCATGCCTTGAAGGTCATAAAGTAGAAGAATAAATTAACCATAGCTCAGGCACTAAAACAAATTCTTTGCCTCAGTTTGCAGTAAGGATGATGATGATGGACATATAGCCCAAGACAATACCAAATAGTACATGGGGATTTAGAACAAGAGAATTAAAAGACAAGGAGGTAAATTAAAAGTGAGATAAAATGTGCCCTGGCAAATCACTGCAAACTGGCCTGATACCTTTGAAGGTATAAAGCTGTTCAGACAAGAGAAGGGGGGGGAAGGAAGAGAGACAGGGGGAGGGCATGTATCTGACTCTGGGTATCAGAGAAGCATTTGTTAAGGTGCCACATGGGAAATTAGCTAAGATAGACTCAATGGAGACAACAGATCCTCTGTCAGAGTAACCTACTGGGACAGAAGGGAAAAGGTATCAAGTAGAGTTGCCAAACTAAGTCTATCCTAGGTCTAGTACTGTTCAGTACATTCATTAATGATTTGGAAGGACATAATGGATTATACATTTAATTAACTTGAGGATGGCACCAAGGTGGGTGGGGTAACAGACACTAAACAACATGATTAGAATTCAAAATGACCTTTATAAAATGAGAAAATGGTACAAAATAAATAGGGGGAACAAGTGCAAAGTACTACACTGTAGAAGAAATATCAAGTACACAAAAAATAACTAACTGGTTAGGCTGCAATATCATACAAAAGGACCTAGAAATTACACTGGATTGCAATTTGAATGAGTAAGCAAGAGTATAATATGGTCCAAAGAGAGACTGGAATATATTAACAGAAGCCATAAATACAAGTCTGGGGAAGTGATTTTTCAGCTCTATTCAGAATTGGTGAGGTGATACCTAGAGTACTGAGTCCAATTTTGGGCACCATACTTCAAGAAATTAGATTAGAATTAGATATCAGAAAGAGTCCAGAAGAGAGCAAGAAAAATTATAAGTAAACTAGAAAATGCCAGGAGTAAAGGTTGCAAGAATTAGGATTATTTAATCTAGAAAAGAGAAGACTATCTAATAAATCTTCAAATACAAAAATGGTGGTTATAAAGAGGGATGACAATAAATTGTTCTGTGTCTACCCAGGACAATAATTAATGGGCTCAAATTGTAACACGGGAGATTTAGTTTGGATATTAGGAAAGCTTTTTATCTATGAGAGTGGTTAAGCATTGAAACACATTACTTAGAACACGGCCAACCTGTGGCACTGGCATACACCAGACTCGGAAGGAGACAAGCAGCACAGTGGTAGATAGGGGAGGAAGAAGAAGGAAGAGCAGCAGATGGGACAGGGAGCACAGGGAAGGAAGAAGAAAGCAGAACAGCAGGTTAGGCAGGGGAAGAACAGAGTGGCACTCAGGGAAGGTGCAGGGCTAATTTGCAGTATAACTGCCAAGAAGGTTAGCCCCCACTGACCTAGAACAGGGGTATCAAGTCACCTGTGGGATACACCCAACCCACAAAGCCCTATCATCTGACCTGAGAAGCCCTATCATCTGGACTGCAGTGCTGCCTGCAGGTCTCAGACTGGAACCACATGCCACATGTAGCACACATCAAAATGGGCCAGATCCAGCATCTGCATGCACTATGAGGGGCTGTATCTGACACGTGGCATATGGTGCTCATGGATTGGCCCCATTTGCCTGTTTTAGTGCATAGGGCTGGTCTGTGGCCCCAGTCTAGCTCCACACTATTCATCCAGCCTACAAGGTTGGATGAATTTGACCCCTGACCTACAGGAGTTGTGGAATCCACTTTATTGGATGTTTAAGTGCAGGTTTGACAAATATTTGCCTGGGATGATCCTGTCACGAGCAAGAATGTGAATTAAATGACCATGTGACATCTCTTCTTTAATACAGTTTTGACACATGGTAAGAGTCTACATAAGGACAATTACCATGGAGCAGCTAAATGTACTACAATGTAAAAATGTAGTTTACTTTTCTACTCCAGTCCCTCAACTGGAGACAACACAGAAGAAGAAAGATCAGTCTGAGGCCGACTGAACCCATGTGATACAGCCACACAAAAGACTAATGAGATTCAAGGTTATATGCCTTTCTTTTTGGGAAGAAGACAAGAAGACAGTACCATAAGACCTCATCTAAATATTCTGCACAATTCACCTATTCGCAAGAAAGATGAGTTCATACAAGAACAGGTGCAAAGAAGGGCTATTAGGATCATCAGGGAAATGGAGAGCCTATCATGAAAGAAAGAGGTTTAAAGAACTTGGCTTGCTTAGTCTAAGAAAATGAATGCTGAGAGAAGAGTATACACCAGGGAGAAGAGATGCTATTTAAACTCAAGGACAAAGCTGGCACATGGACAAATGAGTATGAACTGGTCTTGAATACATTCAGGTTGGAAATTAGACAGTTTCTAACTAATCAGAAGAGTGGAGAGAAGTTCTGGAACAGTACAGTATTTCAATAGGATTAACGGGGCAGAAATCCTAACTCAGTAAAGACAGAGGGTGATACATAATTCTTTTCCTAAACATGACCTGGTTGCCCATAGCAAGTAACAGGTATTGACCCAAAGCTCACTTCCAAACCCACATACCTTCCAGGGGGGTTTGTTTCTTGCTTCATACACAAAACAAATGAAAGACCAGCAGAAGACTACTCTATTAACAACACAGAATTACTACAGTAAATAAGGCGTAACTAG